AAAAGTTTTCTCATCCGGCAAAAAGCTTTTTTTTTTATATCGACTACGAGGCAGAAAAGGAATTTTCCTTGTCTTCCTTTTCTTCCTTTCGTTTTTGGCTCTTGAGTGTATTTATACAGAAAATAATTGCCGTGGTAAGTTAAAGAATGTATGCATGTACAGAGGAATAAAAAAAAAATGTTATGCATAGTCCAAACTGATGACATTTTTAGTGAACTACTTGTACACATAACATATTTGCATAAATCGAGAACTCTGTCGCATTAAATGTGCATATAACAATTTTTTCTTCTGCTTCTCTACATTCATTTCACATTTTTGCAGTGGGCTCTTGTAGTAAGTTTTATTTAAACAACAATTTTTTCCTACTATGTGCATAAAATATTCGTTTTAGCGCATATTAGCACAGCAAATGCTCTTTTGTGCTCACTTTTTTTTTATTGGAAAACTGAATGTTGCAAAGTTTGCTTCAGAAAATCAAATGTTTGAACTTTTACTATATGAAGCTATTATGCACGCTATGGTTCTTAAATGAAAATGTGGTTTTTCTGAGAAAAACTTCTGAATTTGATATTGTTCGATTCAATAGAGTTAAGCGACATATCATGGCAAGTAGCATGTCATTTTTAAAATCATGTGCTTGTTCATTGAAGTTTGAAAAATCCCGCCAAAATTATTTATAGTTTGGTCAAAACAGCGCTTCTTCCAAAAGTATGTCCAAGATAGTTTTTCTACAATTATTCCACTTTTTCCTCTCTCCGTTCTTCTCTACATGCATAAATGTATTATACATATATAACATAATACTAGTTCATGCTCATAAAAAAATTGTGAACCAGCATAGAAAAAAAAAATCTCTCGTTCCTAGCCAAAGGGTAGTGAGCTCAGAAAATATAGATAAGGAACAGTTTTTTTTGCCCACTTCCTATTGCGTAAAAAAGCTGATGAGATTTTGCAAATATTTAATGAATATTTTTGGATACTATGCCGCCCACACAATTTTTGACAAATGGTCGAATAACTTAATTCTTATTTATGATGTCTGAGAAAAATAGTGCAGAATTTACGATAAATGTTCACAACCTTGAACCTTAAATTCGCAATAAAAATTCCAGATTAGTCCATAATTCTCGACTCTGACATTATTAATGGTAGTCAAAATTATCATAATCACGTCGTATCACGTAAATCTCTTTCTTTCTCTCTCTCTTTATCTATGACAAAGTTTGAAAAACATTAAAGCCTCTAGTTCCTCACCCTTCTAATCCACTTTACTATCCAGTTCGTCTGCTTTTTTTACTTAACTTTTGTCATGCTTTTCAGCATACAGTGTTAGATTTTATAGACATCCACACACACACACACACATAATAGAGCAAACATTTGCTAAAAATTAGGAATTTTCAAAAGTAGTAGAAATAAAAAAAGTTATGTAAAGAAGTTTTAATTCCATTTGAATATGCAGTGAATGTTGCTACTCTGATAGAAGTACGGAAAAGTTATGGAGTATAGTATAGTATATTAGTTAAAAGGCAAAAAAGAAATCTCTTCATTATGCTATTTTGAATGCAATAGCACAATAAAAATAGCATAATAAATTTCAAAAGTTAATAATATGCTCAAAGTATGGACATTTCTAATAGCTTCTTGGTAAATCAAAGATCACATGTCTAAGTTTTTAAAGTTTTTATTTATTTTGATAAGTTTAAATTTTGTTCCTTAAAAATGATTTTCTTGCGGATTTGTAAAAAATTGTTGAATTTTTACAAAAAGTCAACAATTATCTGCCTAACGAGTGCTTTTAAATGAACTGAAATACATAGAATTATCAAAAACGACAGGATTAACATAATAATCGCAATAAATAGTTGTCTGGATGTGACAGACTAGAAAGTGGAAAATTTTGACTTGGGAAATCGAGGAATAATAAAATACGAATTATCGCTCTCTGTTACAAAACTTTTCAATACCCCCCCCCCCCCCTTGTGACGTCTAATCTAAGACACAAAAAAATTATAATTTCCTGATTTAAAAATTAGATGTCACAAATTTTTGGACCCCCGTCCCCCCTTAATGTTGGACGTCATAAGTGAACGAACCCATAAAGATTATATGTCACCGTTTTACATAAGTTCAAATAACCTCTGTAATGTCTAGAAAGCTGAATTACAACATTATTGTTCAAAGTTGAACCACAAATTTTTTAAAATTTTAATAAATTTAAAATTTCGTTTATTAAGAAATTTAAAAGAAAAAGTTGAATTAAGATGCTAAATTCTGAAAAAGTCTATTATTTCGACATTTCCTTAGTATGAACAATAGCACACAAAATAAAAAAAGTAAAAAAGCGGATAAATGACATAATAAACTTTTCTTTAGAACTCATAATAATCAGTTCGTGATGATCTCGGTAAACAAACAGTTTGGAGAATTGAGCAGAAAAAAAAGCGAAATTGCACTTCACAAAATCATCATCACCATAATCATAATAATAAATGAAAAGTATATTCTTATGCAAATAATAATCAACATAAAATGATGCGATACGAGATGAAGTGGAGCGATGAAAAAATAATTAAGAATGAAAAATAAATTCCCTAAAGGTCGTCTCATTGTTTTTCATTTGAACATTTAGATAAATTAATTTCATTGAATAATAAGACTCCAGTCGCATGTTTGAGAGCCATTTGAAGTTATAAATAATTTTATTTGGTATGTATTAATATTGTAAAATATATTATTAAAATGGTAATAAATTAAAGCATTTTAAAAACTTTCAATAACAAGACATTCGACCGAAATGAATATACATGTGAATATATGGTTGCGGAGTGTGACTTCATCATCTGGTATTTTAATTCGAAATAATTTATTTTAATCGTTTATCTGGTCGACCATAAAAAAAGTCAAACTGAATAAAATGTTAAACAAAATCTGTCGCTTTGATTTGTTCGAACGAGAGTTGTGATATTTTGTGCCTATGTTTTTTATTATTCCACTTAAAAATAATAATAAAGAGCAACAATGCATGTTCGGCATAGAGGGTTACAAAATGCTCTCAGCTGAAAGAATTTTGAGCAATTTTTAATTGATGTGAGGATTAAAATTTGCACAATATTGACAACCAATTTTTTCAAAGCACCAGACAATTAACAACACAAAATCATGAGTCAGATTTGGGGGTCATTTGCAAGTGATGTCTTTTTTAAAAAACTGAATTTTTCATAAATTGTATAGAATATCACACAACCACTAGCCTCTCACACTCTTGCATGTCAAAAATAAATGCCACCCCAAGAAATTGAAAAATTATGATCACTCAAAAAATAAGTTGTATAAAAGGCGGGAAGATTATAAATTCTCCCATTCCTAGAAACACTAATTTAGTTGAAAGCAATAAAGTTTTACGCGAACAAGCGTATACAGCCGAACTATACTAATTACTTCCGACTTATTTCCTTCATACAAGGAATATAATTTGACAATTTATCTTGACTGGGCTGCTTGCTTGCTTTCAAGTTGTTAATCTTTTGGCAATGATTTTATGGCTATGGAAATTATATCGTTATTATTTATGCTTTATTTATTTCGGTTTACTAGTTGTTTTCCTTTGAACCGAAGAGATGAATGGAGAGATTGTAAATGTAATCACTAAAGATTTTATTCAATTACTATGTTAATTTTGCTTCCTTTAATTCCACTCACTTTTTTTTCATTATTTCTTCTGCTTATTTAATTTTTTTTTTCTTCTTATTTATTCTTTCGCTGTATAGTTGTACAACTTTAACACTAACACTTTAATATCCAGAATATGTGAACAACATATATATAAACTTCTATGTATGTGAATATTATTTTTATTTTTTTAATAATTTTTTATTTGTTGTAGGTATTCCACAATAATTCCACACACTTCAACCGACCTACTGATTTTGGTGATGATTTATTTCCAATTTCAAAAATAGATTCCTTATTAAATCACAGGGATATACATATGTGGTTGGTTTCGATGATACACAGAATAACACAAAAATAAACGTTGAAGAAACTATAAATTGTTGAAACTCTGAATCACTTAATTTGCTTGCTTCCTCTCTTATCTTTTATTTATTTTTCCACTCTTCTTCGCATATATATAGAGATGTATACATGTATAAATATTCTATTCCACCGCGTTTTCAACTGATAACGATCGATTACGTTATTTTTTTCGTGTTTGAACAAAATGCTTTATTTCACTATTCTTCCTCGACTTTTTGCTCTTTAATGAATTTTTATTTTTTTTACATATATGTTATTATTCCTCTTTTCTTATAGTTCCATTCATTCACGTATTATACACATGCATATACGCTCACTAACAATAAACGTCCATTTATGGACTAAATCAAGCACACAATTTCATAAAATTATAATTTCTTTTTCTCTTGTTTTCATCTCCAAATATTTCCAAAAATTGCTATAAAGAATTAAAATTTTTTTCACTTCCGAAACGTTGTGATGTTTACACATTTATATTTTCAATTCATCTGACAACTTAATGCAAGGAAAAGCCGGAAAATGTATGAAATATCCAAATATTGCGATCGAAATTATTAGCTGCGTATTGTTCGTTCCGACGTTAAACTCTCACTGAAACACTCGACAGATCGAGCATAAAACTTTGTCTTTTCTCTCTCAATGTTTCTGTTGAACAGATGTTTAATGCTCCGACTGTTATAAAATGGTAGAGAGATGCTTACTGCACGAAAAAGCGCTTTCTAATGATTTTTTATGACAGTCACACAGGTAAGAGGATAAACTTGAATTTTACTCGTTATGACAGTTGTTCATGTGATATTTGTTATTGTATGGATTCGTGCAAAAATTTTCCATAGTTAAAGTATTTTTAATTCTTTCAACAATCTTTACTTGCAATTTGACTGTTGAAAAATTAGAATAACTCAGGTCAAAGCTTAATAACGGTTTCATAATATTTAAAAAGATAACGGCTCGCTAAAATTTGAAATAGGTGTGCTAAAATGTTCAAAATTTAAAAACTCGTTATTTTTGGAAAAATGGAAAAAATTAAATTAAAGTGAAATTTCAAGATCAAGAGTAAATCTAAAGCAGCTCATTTGTGAATTTTGCATGAATTCACCCTAGTTTTTCTTCTCTTCGAATATACAATATAACAATTTTTCTCTATAGTCGAAATACACAGTGGTTAAGAAAAAGTTAAATTATAGTGGAATATGTGAAGAGTTTTAAGTATAAATTAGAATAAATAAAAAGTGAACTGAAAGTACATTAAGGATAACGCAAAATGCAATTCGGATGGCATCTAATTACACGAGAATTTCATTGTGGAAAAATCTTTAGGAATCAAATCATCCCAAAATCATTGCACGACGTAAAGACCCTTTTCTTTTATAAATTATTATCATTTATTCTATAATTAACACCATTTACGTCTTTACAATTTGCCCTATATCGTTAATTTATCAAATCATCAGCCGTGAAAATAAGTTTTTTGCACTTTTGAAGAAGAAAATTTGAAAATCCCAAAAATAACTTAAGAATAAAAATTTTCTTTCTGGATCTTTTATCTTCTGTAATATCACACAGTTTTCACGTGAAAATAACAGAAAAACAGTCGATAAATAGAAGACAAACAAGTGAAATCAGGGCAATGACAAAATGTATCGCCTGGATCTTTGTATCCATTTAAAAGGAATAATGACTATTAAGTCCAAGGAAATGGCATTAAACTTGATAGATAATAATCAAATTAATCTAGATTTCATTCAATAACAAGATCTAGAGTATATTTTTGCACATAAGCATTAAGTTGATCTAAAAAGATGGCGATAAATCCATTATATCTTCTTCTTATCATTTCGAATAAAAAACATTGATTCGTCTCGGTGTGACAGTTTCTCAAAAGTTTATTGCATTTAATTCTATATTTATTTGTGTTTGTTTTATTCATATTAATCAGGTCAATAGCATCTTAACGTCTAATGAATATTCAAGGGAATTTGAAAGTGAAAATCGCACGCATGCATGTTCAAGCTACGATTCTAATCAATTAGGATCAAATTCACCGTGTGAGGATGCTAGAACGGAAGGATCATTTTTGCATGCAGCTGGTCTACTTGTTGGAATTTTCGATGGTCATGCTGGAGGTGCTTGTGCACAAGTTGTCAGTAAGAGAATCCTTAGATATTTAGCAGCATCATTAATACCACAAAATGCTTTATATCAAGAGATGATAAATGGTGGAAAGAGTAGCTCATTTTTAAAATGCCATAATGATAAGCACGATTTTGTTGAGGAATTGCGTGACTTGTACGAGAATAGTTTCAAAAAATTCACAAATGAATTGCTCGAAAATTCACGTACTGATCCTGAGCCGTATGACTTGTCAAAGTTAATGGAAAATGCATTTTTAAGACTGGACAAAGATATTTCAGATGAGGCAATGTTTTCAGGTATTAGTCAGACATTATCAGTAGCACTTTCAGGATCCGTTTCAGTCGTCGCACATGTTGCAAAAAATCACTTACATGTTGCAGCTTGTGGCGATTGTCAGGCTGTTCTTGGCTCAATTAATGAGCATGGACATTGGGTTGCTACAAAACTGAATCATGAGCACAATGCTGAAAATACAGCAGAAGTAAAGCGCATATTAAGCGAACATCCAGGCTCTGAAAGAGATACAATAATAAGAGGTGATCGTTTATTGAGTCAATTAGCACCGCTCAGGGCTTTTGGAGATTTTCGATACAAATGGCCACGTGAGAAGCTTGAAAAGTTAATTGTACCACATTTTGGAGATCAAGTGGTTCCTCCACATTATCATACGCCGCCATATTTAACAGCAAAACCAGACGTACAGTATCATATGTTGACACCAAAGGATAAATTTTTAGTTCTTGCTAGTGACGGCTTGTGGGATGTATTAAAGTAAGAAAAAGTCATTTGAATTGAGTCACGTTGAATTAATTACATTTTCATTAATTTGAAATTTACAATAGCCCATTGGAAGTTGTACATCTCGTCGGTGAACATTCAATAGGAAAAGCATCACTGCAGCCATTCAAACTACCCAAAAAGCAAAAACTTACACTCAATGAATTGAATGAAATGCTCAAAGCCAGAAAGTAATTAAAAAACATTCATTGCATGTTTATTAATTGAATTATTCACAAATGATGTTCATGAAAAATTAATTGTAGGCTCCTCTGTAATGAATTAATTATGTTAAATGAACGGATTTTCAGGATTTAAAGTTTAACGAACATTTAAAATTCAAATGAATCGGTTTTTTACTAAACGCACCTAAAATTTGAATTAAAATGATTCGTTACATTTTGAACTGAAAATAATTCGTTGAATTCTCCCATTAATCATAAGAGTCACACATCATAAGTGAATAGCTCCTAATTACCTTTAATTAAGTTTTCTCTTTTTTTCTTCTCTTCCCAACACCTGCTACAATTAAATTAGATTGGGAATGGAAATGCCAATTGATAAAAATGCATCGACTCATTTGATTCGCTACGCTCTAGGCGGCACTGACTTTGGACTTGACAATGCACGATTATTCCATCTTTTATCACTTCCGTCAGACATTGTGCGACTCTTTCGCGATGATATAACAATTACCATCCTCTATTTTGACTCAGAATATTTGCGTAACTTACCCGCTTAAGACACAAAAAATGGTATTTTCATCCTGCTGCTTTTATTTGCCAAATACAGACAAAATATTATTATTTTTATTGTTGATGTTATCATTATGTACATTTGGGAAGTATCTCATGTTAATTAAATTTTAGCAGGGTATATTTCATTAGTCAATTTTACATATAATTATTATTACTTTTTGCCTTCATCATCTTCTTTTTTGCTGTTGAAAAAAGTTAGAAATTGTTTTAAAATTAGCATAAAAATATGTATGATGCAAGTTCATCATACTTAAACAATCTATATATTTTAAAGAAGAAAAAAATATAATAAAAATTACAATGTGATCGTTTTAAACAAAAAAATCCGTTGACTCGAATTTAAACAAAAACTGTTTTTAATTCTATTATTTATCTTTGCTAATTGCTGTTCCTCAAACATGAGCAAACTAGATTTTATTATGTGCTTGTTATTGCGATGAGGAAGCGATGTAACTTTTGTAGATTTGTTGAAGTTGCATGAACTTATTGCAATGTTTTTAGATCATATGAAGTTGCTGGATAAACATTTTAGGATACGAAAAATTGATGACGGGGGATGAATAGATGATGTAGGTAAGTATGCATTACAATTAAACAAGTCACAAATCAGTGGAAAATCATCAACAAAAGTAGTCAAACAGTAAGAAGTGGATCAAACTTACAAAGCTGTTGTGCCGTATTTATTGCGTTTAGGTCGAAGTTTGCTTAAAAACCGATTAATTTGTATGAAATATTAAACTTCACAAGAGGCAGCAGAAATTTGAATCGGTTATTTTTAACCGTCGTTTTTGCCGTCTATTAAAACTCATCGGAAATAGGACTAGGGGCCGTCGGAGAATTATTTGGCGCACATCTGTTGAACGGGAGGTGGAACAATAAAACAAAAAGCTGCAGAAAATAGCAGCTTTGGCCCAGAATCGAGTGCGATTCAAATGCTTTGTGGACACCCTACGATTCAAAGTGGAGCAATAGGAACCCATCATCATTGCCGTCTAGTTTATGACTTTCAAGACACAAAAATAGCTTTAAGAGCTTCAAATCCTCATGACAATTCAAAATAAGTATTAATGTACAAAATTCTCTCTTCGAAAACATTACAAAACATCTCGAATGCTTTACTATAGCTTCCTCATACATGATTTTGCAACATCAACAAAGGAACTGTATGAATTTAAAGTGAGCTTCAAGCATGGAACCGGTAAAATGTTTAACTCGCTGAAATTGTTTCCTTCTTCATTTTTGCAAATTCGTTGATTACGATTCATAGCATAATTTCTGAAAAGAGACTTATTAAGACACTTTACAGAACATAATTTTCAGTTATCATATAGGCTTTATTTCACAACAATGGCATAATATGTATATATATATAATATAGAGAGTATAGCATTTAATTTTTTTCATATTTCATATTTTTTCCTGGTGTATAATAATTTAATTAAAAATATTTGTATCGCAATTCTCTTATCATATTTTTATTTCGAGGGTTATTTGACTTTTTTGGATTAACTTTTAATTGGAAAATTTTTCACCTCACTTTTTTTATATTTTTGTTCTTCCTTTTTTTGTTCCAACCATACAACTACATAATTTTTTTTATTATGATTATTTAACTCGGTATTTATTTTCTTCTGTTCCTCTCTTTGGTATCGATCCAATTTGTATTCATTTTTTGGAAATAAAAAAAGAAAATATTCATTTCCGTATGAACATTTTTTTAAGGAGGAAGAAAGGAGCTTATCACACAAAAAATAGCAAAACTGAACAATCAAAAAGTTAATTGCATGGAATGTTTCTTTCTGTTTTAATAAATGGCATGTTAGTTTCACGCGCACGGCACTTAAATTTTTTTTCTTTTCATTTGCTGTTAAAAAATTAACATAAATTTTTACTGAGCCATTTCATTTGTAAACGGACGGGGCCAGAGAATCAAAGAATGAGGAAATAATAATGGATAAAGAAGGAATATTATTCATCAGGTCAGCATTTATAGACTTCGAATTTCAATTTTAATGTATTTGCTATTAGATTATATATTTTTTTTTTCATCATCCTTAAGGGCATTTATTGGCACATTATAACTTTTCCCTATTCCTACATATAAATTCTAATTTAATATATGAATAATAATAATAATAAGAAGGAAAGAGTAGGAATTACATATTTTTTAAATAGATAGGAGGAATGCATACATTCATATTAATAGATATACAGTGTTGTTAACTTAGATGCACAAATTAGACATAAGGAGAGAAGAGAGTGTTAATATTCAATTTATGAGGGTCAGACCAAGATATATAGATGTGCTCATACAAAAATATTGCTATTTTATAAGGTTAAAAATTTTCAACTTCTATTAACAATAACACTAGGAAAAAAATTGTCAGTTTAAGTTTTGCAGAATTTTTTAAGTTTTGTTGGTACAGGAACATTGGAAATGCTTAACTATTCTTTAAATTGACTGACAAAAGTTTAATTGTGATGAATTTATTGAAATTTAAATTAAAGTTGTATAATTTATTGTTTGTAAGCTAAATTTCGATTGGTAAATTATACACTATGAGCTCCTCTATACATCTGTAGAAAGACGAAACATTCTGGTCTAGTCTTAAGATCTGTCTAGGTCTGCAATACGTTGATACTAGAAAGAATCGTCTTGGACTAGGTTTATTGATCGTACATATGATTTGCAGATCATATAAATTTAGAACATAAGTAACACTGACCTAGACTGATCTTATTATATAGTTATATAATATACTCTTGGATAAGATAGATATATTGATTTGTTTATTTACTATTGAGGTATTAATAATTGGATAATTTTGGATGTATAAAAATAACTAGCAAAATGACAAAGGAAATCGTAAGAATTGGAGTAGATAGAATCAGGGAAAATAGTTTTTCAGACAGACTAAGAATTAACATTCTAACCGACGTATTTTACTCATAATCAAATTTCTTTTTTATCAATTCTGAGCAAATAGCAAGAAAACAACACTGAAGATAGATATTGGAGAATAAAATATTTTCAATAAATTAAGGAAGATTTATATGAGAATTATCAGCAGCAGAAGAAGAAGAAGTGGTGGGATGGAAAGAAGGAAACGCATTTTATATCTCTTAATCATCTGAATTACATGAATAAGTGAGATGAGAAATATACAGTTGGAATTTAATATAAAATTTAAGAAGGGAAAGGAGGATGTGAGGATAAATGTGTTAAACACAAAAATAATTTAAAGATAAGTTTGAAATATAATTTTAAACTCATCGATGTATCAGACAATAAATCATTATATGAAGCCATAATTTGAGAGAAATTTTTTCAATAATAATAAAATTCTCATAAATTCATTTCATCAAGAAACAATAAACTAAAGATATTTTTTTTTTCATTTTGTAAAGACTTAAAGCTTTTTTTTGCAAGGAATGTTAAGTTTTTATCTGATTTTGATCTCTTATTTGCATTTAGTTGACATCAACTTTTGAACTTTTCATTTCCTACCATTCACGAACGGAAAATGCATGGTTTAAGGCAGGATTTAAACAAGGATCAAGTACATTTAAAAACTTTGTTTGCAATTATCATGAAAATAATTTTCAATTTAATAAAATCAGGCAGTTTTACTAGCTTTTGAAATTCAAAAAACCTTTACATTTTTAAATTTGTGAAACTCATTAATTTGAATATTTAAAACCATCTTGAAGATCATTTTTAAATTAATTATTTCATCAAATAAAGTTTAAAAATTCAAATATATCGAAAAAAAACATTTTTCAATCGAAATTTGATCAACAAGAAAAAATGAAATATTCTCCGAAAACTCAAACAGAGAGTAAGTTACAAAAGTATTAATTATCACTTCTCATCCTTATCGATGAAACATTTCAGAAGCCACAACAAACTGTCAATTATGTGTCGATAGATATTAAGTTTGTTTAACGCAACGTAATTTCATGTTTACAGTAGTTTTAGTTGAAAACTTTTCATCATCTTGAAATTAATTAAAATCTTAGAAAGGAATATCAAGTTGCATGTTTATTTGATTATTTTCATGATTTAAAGATGTTCATTTAAGCATGAGAAATGTGAAAAGACTTAACATCCCTTGAATTTATTTTATAACAAAAAAGAGAGAGAGAGAGACGAGGAAGAATAGTATAAATTTTATGTTTTGCTTATATCAAGATCATGTACAATACATGATAAATGGTAAATAAATATACCTTTTTTATCGCACTAGTATGCTTCTTTCTTCACTTATTGTTAGTTTTACTGGCTGTTCCTATAAATATTTATCGTAAAAGCTTATCAAATTTATACTTTTTTTTGCAGTTTTTTGATTTACTAAGCTATCCACTTTTTTTGGTACTACGTCTACATATAAGATGCACTTTTCAATTATTCTTATTATCTTTTAGATTTTCTTTTCCTTTTCATAATTTTTCTTGTCAGGTTGTGCCAAAAAGTTATTCATAAATTGCGTCAATTAAAAAACGAGATTTTAAGATCATAAAATTCATGGACCAACTTCAACTGTGAACTTCTTTGAACCAGTAAGGAAATAAGAAGCGTTCGATAGAAATCACAAAGCCTGAGAAATGCACTTATTCACATTATCAGATATATTTGCAGCTATCCTGTCTAGCTTCATAGCCATAATATGTTGTTCACTAATGTCTGCGCTATAGTCAGTAACTTTTATCAACTCTAGACTCATAAATATGCTTTCAGACATCAAGAAGCATAGAAAAAAAAGATTCTATAGGCGATAAAATATCTCACACCCAAATGACACTCCCTGACATAAAAAATATGAAAATTAATCCATAATCGAGACAGACACTAAATTGGACACATAAAATTCTGATTAATTTCTATAATTTAATAAATTTTGATGTAATTGGAATGTTAGAGATTTTTTTTTTTAAATTTAATAAATTAAATAACATTTAAAATGTCAATTATAAAAATCGAATCTGGGATAGTGGAAGAAGGGGAGGCAGTAAAATAAATTAACATAAATCAATTTTCAACAATGTTAAACGTGGAGATCATAAACGTAGAAATAAATATTAATCAATATGCACTATTTTTTTGCTACTCACTCACTCATTCACTATTACGACCAATTTTAATTAATTGTAATTTTCTCGAGATTTTTTTCGTTTAGTTTTATAAATTAAACTGTTGAGTTATGAAATAGAATCGAATGTACTTTACGAAGTAAGGGAAAAGTTTTCCTTTCATCACCTTTTTGTGATGATGATTTATACTGTTTATCTGAGCATGTTAATTGGAAATCGTCAGTATTTAATGAGAAAATCATAACTCCACCGAAATGATTATTCTTTGCATAATTTGTCTTACATTCAATGCTTCTCTCATCGTCATATGATATCCATTCGAGTCCGGCGTAGAGCCATGGTGAGCAAGTTTCCGTATCATATTCAATACGTACATTATAATTTGTTTCTCGGAACCAGCAAACTTCTGAATAAGTCACGAAACCCATTGTTCCAACACTTCCAATATCCTCAGCTGGCGCACCAACTTTCGTATTAAATGGATTGACTAATTTAAATGAATGTCCATAAGTTGGCAGTCCAATGATGATTTTTGATCTATCAAGGCCTTTTGACATCCAGTAATTTACACTGTAATTGATGTTTAATGTTTCAAAAAAGCCCTTCTCGTTTGACCTTGCATATAAAGGTGCATTAAAACCTGTTAAAGTGAGAGAGCATATAGGAAGAGACAAACGAATAACAAAATTTACGAGTTTGTTCAGTTTAGTGATTAAAAATTGTCCCAGATTGTCAACAATTGCTTTATAACATTGACAAAAATAACGGAAATTCTAAATTCAAAATGTAACGGAAGGGGCCGTTCACTTATTACGTTCGCATTTTAGGGGGGAGGGGGGGGGGGGTGAAAAAAGTCGGTTTTTTGCGTAACGTAATAAGTGAACGGCCCCGAATATAATTATTTAAAAAGTTCAAGTTCAAAATTTTGAACTTAAATTTGAATTTAATTCTTCCGTTAAAATAACTCTTTGTATTGAGTAGAATTTGACTAAGTGGGATAATTTTTATAATTACCTGTATATGGTGTGCCTTTTGTGTAGAAATGATAATCGTATGTCATAATATTGACATAATCTACATTCTCGTTTATCATGCGAACATCATAACACATATCGACAAAAATTGATGGTGCAGCTACAGCCAATGACAGTAAAAATGTGCTGTGTTCACGTTGATACTCTCGTCGAATATCATGTAGAAGTTGCATGAAGTGTATTCTTTGTTGATTAGAGCCATTTGGAAATTCCCAATCTAAATTAACAATAATTTGTTAATTATGCTTATTGTTGCACGAAAAAGCTATAACAATTACCTAAATCAATTCCGTCTAGTCCGTACTTTTCGAGTGTTTCTTTCACAGACTGTATAAATCGTTTTCGATTTGAGTGATTTGCGACCACTTCTGGAAATCCCTCTGATTCATCAGCAGCACCAACCCACAAAAGAATTTTGAGCTTGTCATTTTTACTTTTTAGTTCATTGCTGCCATGAATGGCACTGATGAGATCTTTATCGAGTTTTAGTGAACAATTTGAGACTAAAACGACGCCAATATTTATATGCGTGCATAAAAACGGATTAATATCCCTTATGTTAAGAAAACTGTCCCCAATGCTTCTTCTTCTTCTCGTCTTCTTCGTATTGTGTACGTCGTTGGATAGACTCGGTGTTGTATAATAACAAACCAGCTTCTTATTTAGCGTTTTTGCATGCTTTTCAATCTCATTTGAATAAATATAACTTCCAAATTTGGACGGTTGCACAATAATTTTATCATTATCTGTTTCATTTACACTACTTTTGTCACTAGCATGAAAGTTATTGATGTAAAAATCTAATTGATCTAATCTATGTTGCCAAAATAATGGAATTTCTAGAAAGAAAAAAATCAGAGGATTAATAATATAATGAATTTGACGCATTCAGTGACTCACCATTTGATTTTTGAGGTATATTTAATCTCTTATTATAAATTTCATCCCAAAATAAGAATATTACAGTAAATAATAGTATGCATATAACTATCGAGAAAAACAGGAAATAAATTAGATGTCGTTAATTGTCGTTATATTTGCTATAATAAACTTACATGTTAACAGACTTATCGCTAATGAATTCCTATTGAAGCTACTTATATTCCTAATTTAATCAAAAACAAAAGATAATTATGAATTTTAATGATATTTTTTTAAAAACTTTTTCAAACCTTTGATTATTGATTAGTTCATATTTTTGTTTTGTCATTATCACTAGCACATTTAGTTACTTAAAGCACTTATTGAATTGTAAAAAGAGATTAACAGATTTAAGAAATTCAATAAAAAAACATAAAATATTTCCTTTAATTTTTCAACTTCAATTTCTTTGACTGAATTTTTACGGAGGGGATCGATTGCTTATGAAAAATTCAGTTCCATGCTGCAGCTAATATTTATTTTTTTCTTGACAGTTATATTCATTTTATATTTTGTCTTAAAACTTATTCATGCTTAATTGTAATTTAAACAGGCACTCAAAAACTTAATTAAACAGGCAAAAAAAGTTCTTTCAATTTTCTTGAAAGATTACATTTAAAACGTTTTGATTTAATGATGCTAAAAAGTCAGTTGGTGTCTCGTTAATCTTCCACATGTAACGTTTAATCTTTAAAACTTCCAGTTTTGGGAGTTTCGTTATGATTCTATACATCTCTTTTTGTGTTAAATCGGTTCCAGCTTCAATCGATAAATACTTAAGATTTGGATAAAATTCAGCTAAAACAGAAATATTAAATGACGATATCTTGATGCTTAGACGTTCTAAAGTTTTTACACATGGGAAAGTGTAAATCATTGATCCACGAAAGTAGTCAACATGAAGCGACTGCAAATTTGGAAAATTACCACGTAGAAATACGAAATTACTGTTGCTGTTCAAGCTTAAATGCTTTAAATCTTTTAAAATGATATTGTTGTAATCGTCTGTTGTAAAAGACCAACCGCCATAATAAAAATCGAGTGTTAAAGATTCAATCTTTGAATAATGTTTAAACATCATTTGGATGAAATCAGTTCTTACAAAAAGTTGTGAATACTTGATTGTAAGATTCTTAAGGTTTGTGTTGCTTTCGATTAGATTGTTTGTGATTAAATGATCAGGAAGGAAGTCAATAATCAGCTTTAGTGATGTTAGGTCCTTCATTTCTCTCATAACATATTCCAAAATACTTGAGCAGAAGCTAATTGATAGATCTCTGAGATATGGCTTTTGTTCGTGCAAGAAGCGAATAAAACCTGGAATTTCAAAGACTTTTCCTACTTCCAGTTTCCTAATTTGCCACTCGTTATAAATTGGAAGATTGAAAAATCCTTTGCTGTATATTGTTAACGATTCAATGTTAACAAGAGTGAAGGAATCAACAATCTGCAAAGTTGAATGTTTCTGTAATTTAAATTAATTTAATTTTGTCTAGCTTTATGCTTCATTATCTTACGTGTTGTGGACGATCAACGATGCTTAAGGATTTGAGGTTAGGTAGATCATACGAAGAAAGATTTGTCATAGTATGATTTTTTGTAAACGAAGATCCAGTAATGTTAAAAAATCTAAGTTCTTCAACATTTTTGCATGCATTAAGTAATGAAATTCTTTTGATGCGATTTTCAGGAAATGTCCCATGGAATGTTATGACTTTAAGATAGGGTCGATAAATGTCCAACACTCTAAGACACAAGTCAAAATTCTCGTCTGATAACTTATAGATGTCGCAGGACTGATAACGTCTTATATAAATTGGATATTCCAAATCGTCAAGTGAAGAGTCAACAATCTGCAGAACAAATCGTTGCATCAATTTTGAGGATGTTGTAATCACTTCATTCCAACGATTGCAAACAAGCATTGCTGATTTTAAATCTGTATTCTCTGACATTTCTCTATCATTCTCGGATTTTCTTTGCTTACTGGATGTTATGTAAAGAAATATCTTTTCTAAAATTTCACATGGCAAAGTTCCAAAATAATCTATAATTTGAATTGATTTAAGGACTAAGATGTTTATATTACAGTTTTAACTTACTTTTATTGTACTCAGACGTCATTTCAACACTTAAATCACTAATTAACTTAAAAACGATGTAGGTACTGAAAAAGATTATTTTAAAATAAAGCTGGTAAATTTTTTTTAAAATAGGGTAAATACCAGTAAATACTTTTTGAAAATTGCACCACTTTTGAAATTTGCACACTCATATGAAAATAAAAAATACAAATTTCTCCCAGAATATCTACTACTGATACTACTTTCTTAACAAAATCTTTGTATAATTATTGTACAAATGCTGTTGTACCACTTTGAGTTGTTTAAAGGCATCAGGAAGATGAATTCCTTCAGCAATCAATTTTTCATACAAAACGAAACTTTGCAAAATATAAAATTTTGGGATAATAGTGGCTTTATCAAATATTTTGATATCCAAAAATGTACTTCTTAAGCTGTTTAAAATTTTGGAAGTATTTCTTTTGTGAAAGAATGAGCGGAAGTGCCCAAAAAATCACTTTTAAAAAAGCTTGTTTTTCACTTTTAAAATTTGCACAAAAATGTATCAAAACTTTTAAAATTTGCACACTTTTAAGCTTACCCTGTTTTTTCGTTATAAGCTAAGAAGAATAAAAAATTACAAAAGTCCTCGTGTTATTGATCGAGGGACTTCAGCGCATTTTTGACGAAGCGATCAGTATTTGATTATAATTAATAATTTGCTGCAATGAATTTCCATATAGAAAAAGTTTATCATTTAACGGTTTTTTAAAATTTGAAATTTTACAACGGCTAGAAAAAATTTGAAATTATAGAGGTAAATTTGAATTTATAGAGGTAAAACAAAATTTGAGCAGGTTACACTGAAAACAAAACAAAAACTCATTAATTATAGCATAAATACACTGCTTGAAGACTTTTAACTGTACGATCGGACAATAAACAATAGTAACGGAGCTAATAAAACAAATCCGAGCTCTCTACGATGTCTGGTTGCAAAGTTTTTATGCTTGCCCGAACGAACGAACAAAGTGTATTATTGAGCTCCCTTTTCGAAAACAAGTTTTCAAAAATGCGCTAAAAAGTGTAGTAGCTTAGTAAAGAAATAGAACTTCAATGAAAATTTTGAATTTTTTAACTTAATTTAAGAAATTTTGCTATCTTCTCGGTTTTATTTCATTGACAATGTCATAAGGCATTGAAACTGATACTTTGAGTTGAAAAAGATTAATTATACTTTATTTTTGGTAGTACCTTAGTAAAGATTACAAAAAAATTTCAAGTTCCCAAAAACTTTACTAAGCTAGTAGCTAAATTAAAGATAAAAGAGAATGGTGATTTTAAAAAATTAGAGAATATCTGAGGATATATTTTGGACATGTCGGTTATAAAGAATTTAATCCAGAAAATCAAGAAATGTGCTATGCATCTAAACTTTCGATACAGCAAGTTTTAATTCTTACAAAGAATAATTGTATAAAGCAGTATAAAGCAGACTTGCGTCATTTCAAATGTTGGCAGTTATGTAAAATTATGAAAAATTCAAAATTTATTTTCCGTTAAAGCATAAAACAAAATTTTGCTTTAATTAAGCTACAGATTATGAAGCTTTTCGATCAGTATCATTAATTATGTGATCAGTAAGTTGTTAATCATTGTTTTAAGTAAGAAAATTCCTAAATTAAGAAAATTCAGTTGAAATTGAAAAATGTCAACAAAAAAATGTAAGTGTGTAAGTGTAAAAATTTCTTGAAAATATTTCTGCAAAAAACTCTTTTGTTTCTTGATATTCATGATTTTAAAGCTTATCAATGTTCATAAATAATAACAAGCTTTGATTCTAAGCTAGTTGACAGTAGTTATCATAGCTAAAATGCTCAAAATTCAACATAGAATTTTTTAAAATTTTACCGGTTGAATTGAGTTTAAATTTTCGAAATAAATTTCGAATTTTTCGGAGCCAATTTCGAATTTCTTCGAAATGAAATGACGCAAGCACAATGATTCAGATTCGGAAAAAATGTTCAAAAATTCCTTGTGCACAATATTTTTCTGACACATTAGAAAATTGAAAGTTTTTGTTGATTTCTTTTGATTTGATTCTTTTAGCATCTTCTACATAATATTTTCGTTCATTGCTCAAAAAATCAGTCCTTAATATAAAGGATAAACATGTTTTTTTATCAAAAGTTTGTAAAAGTTTATCAAAAAATATTGTGCATGATCAAACTTTGTATGAAATTTTATGTAAACTTTGATCGCAAATATCTCGAAAACGGCATCAAACGGCATGTCCTCAGTAATATGGGAGATAGATTAAAGCTTATTTAATTGATTTATATAGGTTTCAGAGAGGTCTTTGGAAGACTTTTTAACTTATGAATAGTTTAAGTTTTGTAAAAATACTCAGATTTCAATTCCATTTTTAAGGCTTAATAAGCAGATTTCTATTGAGTTGGTTGTTTTAATATGTAGAGCTAAGCTTAAATTAGCTAGCAACTGCTTTCAAGACATCCAAATAACAACTTAAAGTAGAAAAAATCACATTTCTTTTTTCATACTCAAATTGTAAACAAATTTTGGGTGAGATTAAATTAATGATTTCTGGAGTTAGACAGCAAATAGGAACGAGATATTTTTAAAGGATATGCACAAAGGAAAGATCTTTAATCTGGCATTTAAAAGACAAAGTTTAATTAACATGAAATTTTTGAATTTTTGAACATTTTTTTCGATTCTGAATCATTGTGGCAAGTCTGGTATAAAGCATATTAAAAAAAATATTTGCAATTTGGGAAATTTAAAAATGGTCTTTATTTTATAGATGAGTTTAAATGATGTAACAAACAGCTTATATTTGAGATTTACTCGAACAACTTGATTTTGTAGATAATCTATATAACGGATATGTAGCTTTTCCTTGCTTGATTTTTGTTCAATTTTCCTGTTGATATTCAACGACGATGCTTCTGGCGATGTTATAAAAACACAATAACAATAAATTTATTGGATTTCTTTGGAACTTTCCGACGAAACATTATATTTCTTCAGCCTTAAAATTGTAAACATATTGTTTGTTGACAAAAATTTGATTCAACTAGTGTATCGGGTAGAAACCCAATGCGGATATATTCACATCGTACCATCAAAAGTCTTATGGATAGACCAAGATTTGCTCAGCATAAGTTTGAAGGGTGGTTTCACTTCAATTTTTGTCAATTGATCAATTTTGTCACTTTTTTTCTTCGAAGGTTTATACAAATGGATTGAAACTTTGCATAAATATTTTGATGCTTAAAACAAATACAAATAAAACATCCTAAAATTTTTTTGAGCAAAGAATCAAGTAGGAAATACATTTTCAATTTTGGACTAGGGGCGACCCTAGTCAAAATCAATTTTGTCACTTTTTTCTTCGAGGGTTTATAAAAATGGATTGAAACTTTGCATAAATATTAAAGTGCTTAAAACAAATACAAATAAAACATCCTAAATTTTTTTTGAGCAAAGAACCAAGTAGGAAATACATTTTCAATTTTGGACTAGGGGCGACCCTAGTCAAAATCAATTTTGTCACTTTTTTTCTTCGAGGGTTTATACAAATGGATTGAAACTTTGCATAAATATTTGAGTGCTTAAAACAAATACAAATAAAACATCTTAAAAATTTTTGGAGCAAAGAACCAAGTAGGAAATACATTTTCAATTTTGGACTAGGGGCGACCCTAATAAAATCAATTTTGTCACTTTTTTTCTTCGAAGGTTTATACAAATGGATTGAAACTTTGCATAAATATTTTGATGCTTAAAACAAATACAAATAAAACATCCTAAAATTTTTTTGAGCAAAGAATCAAGTAGGAAATACATTTTCAATTTTGGACTAGGGGCGACCCTAGTCAAAATCAATTTTGTCACTTTTTTCTTCGAGGGTTTATAAAAATGGATTGAAACTTTGCATAAATATTAAAGTGCTTAAAACAAATACAAATAAAACATCCTAAATTTTTTTTGAGCAAAGAACCAAGTAGGAAATACATTTTCAATTTTGGACTAGGGGCGACCCTAGTCAAAATCAATTTTGTCACTTTTTTTCTTCGAAGGTTTATACAAATGGATTGAAACTTTGCATAAATATTTTGATGCTTAAAACAAATACAAATAAAACATCCTAAAATTTTTTTGAGCAAAGAATCAAGTAGGAAATACATTTTCAATTTTGGACTAGGGGCGACCCTAGTCAAAATCAATTTTGTCACTTTTTTCTTCGAGGGTTTATAAAAATGGATTGAAACTTTGCATAAATATTAAAGTGCTTAAAACAAATACAAATAAAACATCCTAAATTTTTTTTGAGCAAAGAACCAAGTAGGAAATACATTTTCAATTTTGGACTAGGGGCGACCCTAGTCAAAATCAATTTTGTCACTTTTTTTCTTCGAGGGTTTATACAAATGGATTGAAACTTTGCATAAATATTTGAGTGCTTAAAACAAATACAAATAAAACATCTTAAAAATTTTTGGAGCAAAGAACCAAGTAGGAAATACATTTTCAATTTTGGACTAGGGGCGACCCTAATAAAATCAATTTTGTCACTTTTTTTCTTCGAAGGTTTATACAAATGGATTGAAACTTTGCATAAATATTTTGATGCTTAAAACAAATACAAATAAAACATCCTAAAATTTTTTTGAGCAAAGAATCAAGTAGGAAATACATTTTCAATTTTGGACTAGGGGCGACCCTAGTCAAAATCAATTTTGTCACTTTTTTCTTCGAGGGTTTATAAAAATGGATTGAAACTTTGCATAAATATTAAAGTGCTTAAAACAAATACAAATAAAACATCCTAAATTTTTTTTGAGCAAAGAACCAAGTAGGAAATACATTTTCAATTTTGGACTAGGGGCGACCCTAGTCAAAATCAATTTTGTCACTTTTTTTCTTCGAAGGTTTATACAAATGGATTGAAACTTTGCATAAATATTTTGATGCTTAAAACAAATACAAATAAAACATCCTAAAATTTTTTTGAGCAAAGAATCAAGTAGGAAATACATTTTCAATTTTGGACTAGGGGCGACCCTAGTCAAAATCAATTTTGTCACTTTTTTTCTTCGAAGGTTTATACAAATGGATTGAAACTTTGCATAAATATTTTGATGCTTAAAACAAATACAAATAAAACATCCTAAAATTTTTTTGAGCA